TGGCCTCTCCACGTCTGCTGCGGCGCACCTGTTGCTCCTGCGCACAGGTGGATACACATTCCAGCCCCGCAACCCTTTGCCTTTGTGTGTGGCAAATGGCATCAGATGGCCAAATCACCCGTGTGACTTTGGCTGGACCTTACTTAGGTGAGGTCAGCTGAGGTCAGGATGGATCAACCAGGTCAAAAAGGACCTGGACAGATTGTACAGTGCTTAGGTTGAGAGAGTAATGAAAGTGTGACGTATTGGGAATCTGCAAGCCTGCAAAGGTCTCCAAGCGGTCCATGCATTGCTCATGCCGATCCCGGCGCATCCGAACGTCTCCACGGCCGGGCCGGAGATTGACCCAACGCCAAACACGGCTACTGTAGAGCTTCCCTAACTTCCAAGGCTTCCCTTGATGTCCAGCCTCGTCTCCAGCTCCTCCCGGAGCCCTTTTCCGTGGCGCCTGGCGCGAAAGGAGCGTGAACTCGGTTCCTCCGTCGGGCGGCGGCTCTTGACCCGGCGGAGTCGCCCCTGTTGACCCGGTGGATCCCCCTGCTTGGCCGATCCAAATAATCCACCAGCCACTGGATTATCAGGAGCTTGGAAGTTAGCTTCTGCTCCCACAAATGTGGGTAAGAAATAGATACTGTTAAAAGCATGGATCTAAGCAAGACATGTTTGCCGTTGCCCATGATTGTTCCTTTCCTGCCCTTCGAACATCTGCTGGGTTTCTGGTATGCACATCCCAAGCAGTAACGCTACCACTTGCAAGGGTGGTTTCTAAGGCTATAGTCTTTCTCAACCAGGGACCCTTCGAAGGCACTGTGACTACACCCTACATAGAGATCTGTCCCAAACTTAATTTGTGTCATGGAATCTTCCACTGCCTTTTGTTTGGTCATTTCTTTAGCTACAGCTAGACCTCTTGCTATCCTTCTCCAACATCCACCAACACCCCAAAAAATAGAACATGTCTCAAATGAGGGAACCCAATCAACAAATATCTATATCTAATTCCATGGTACGAGTACCAGTGGTAGTTGGAGTTAAAGCATGGATTCTGAGTTGCCCACCCTCCACTACTGCTAGCACCCCACCCCACCTCCGCCTCCATCTCCGTGCGGGGACGCTTGCGGGCAGCTGGTTGCGAACCTGGAGCGGCTTCGCCCCAGAGAAGCAGCACGCCAAAGCGCCCAAGCCCAGCTTTGGTGATGTGAGACTTGAAAGGACAATATTGTAACAACAACTCACTAATAGTAGCAATCACGAAAGCCAGCCGATAGGCTAGGCTGAAGTTGGGTTGGGCGAACGAAGTGGGTGGTCGCACACGAATCAATTTCGGAGGGCTAACCCAGAGACTGAGAGCGAAAAAAATGAGTGCACGATTGGGATTAAAAATGTATGGTTTTTGAGGTGTTGTGATGCAAGTGATGTAAGAGGGGCTCAGGAGGCAATTGGGAGTTTATGTCAACGATAGGAAAAAGGGGACAACGGGACGCGAAAAGTGGTTGGAACTCCTCCAGCAAAGGGAGATGTGCGCCTGGTGGCCGTTTGAAAAAGTGTTCGACTAGGCGTGAAAGGGGGGGGGGGTCTCTTAAGACAGTGTGTGATCTGTGAGGGCAGGAGAGGGAACAGAATGCTGTGGGGAAGGTGGAAGACAGGCATAGCCGAGGAGGATGGGTAGGAAAAGATGGTTTGCAAGAAATCTGGGCGTTGCTTGGGGGTGCCCTTTTTCAATGGTGGAGATGCCTGTCAACCATACGCAAAAGGGCACCCCATATGGGGTGCGAGTTCATGTACTGATGCGGTCTGTTGGGGGGAGAAGAGAACAGAATGCAGCGGGCAAGCTTTGAGTTGCTTGGGGGTGCCCCTTTTTTATGGTGAAGAGGTCTGTTGACCAGACACAAAAGGGCACCCCATATTGGAGTGGGAGTTCATGTGCAGGATAGGCATAGCGGGGGAGGGTGTGATAGGAAAAGAGGTGGGGAGCTCACCAGGGATCTCGCATTCACCCCCCATGACCATATTGATATCTTTTACGGTGGCTGGCTTTCGTCCCCGCCTTCTCAGGTATATAATAGTCGTCATCATGATCATAGTCATATAATGACAATACGATAACAACATAATCATCCCTATAAATTTGTCAAAATGTGTGTTTGTGTATATGTACATAGATAAAGGATCATATCAGTCATTCTGAGAGATGTTTGTCTTTGAGATTCGAGTGACGAGAGGATGAACGTCCCTCACATGGGCGAGGACCGGAGGGCGTTCCTGCGACGCTTCCCCACTGCGGCTTGCCTCCGGATCTCTGAGGTCAGAACCACCAATGGGCAGGCGGTCAATGCTCACAGTGGGAGCCCCTGCGGCCTGGAGGGTTTTTGCTAATGTCTTCCACTTTCAACGGAGGTCCGCTGGGTTGAAGTTTAAGGAGTCTATGAGGGGTCTCCCCAATTTCAAGGCGAACCACCGGTGAACTGAGCACTCGACATGGCGGTCAGATGAGAGAGTCATATGCAGGGCAGATTTTGTGTCTCCGGTGTGTTCTGGTTCAATGAGCAGTTTCCTTGCCCTGTTCCTGGTTGGATTTTGAACAGCTGTGGGGGGCTGTGGGGACTGGTCTTTCTGGTTCCATGTCCAAGACCTTCCCATTTTCACTTCCCCCGGGACTGAGGGAGTGCTGGGTCCCCATGTTGCTCTCGCAATGCATCCATGTTGCTCATCCTTTTTCTCCCTCCCAACCTCTATTTGTCTCAGTCGCTCACCAACGGTTGAGCTTACTGTCCTGTCAGTCTCAACTGGTTTAAAAGGCAGTCTTTTCGCGTCTTTTCAGGTCTGTTCCGAGAGATCTTCCCAGATCTTTCGGGAACTGCGATCCTTCAACGGGTCCAGGCGTTTGTCGAAGCCCGACGAGGTCGACGGAAAGGCGGGTCAGAGAGACCTGCGATGCGTCTTTCGCTGCGATGCGTCTTCTGCTGCGAGGCTGAAAAGTGCTATCTCCACAGGTGTTCTACGGTTGATAGGTTTGTAAAGATCCTCGTGTCAAAGACCCATTTCAAAAAACGAAGGCCTACCTCCAAGTGTCCCTTCCTCTGCACCCCTCCATCTCTTTCCCAACACCACAAACCCACCTGAACCCCCCCCCCCCGAACCAGCTACCACCCCCCCCCATTGAAACAACCGGCCTCGGCCAAGCGCACCGCGTTGCGGCGCTTGGTTTGGGCAATGCTCATGAAGCCAGGGCCTTCGGACCAGCACTTCACCTGCGGCACCCGACGCGTTTTGGGGGCCAAGACGTTCACCGATGGGAGGAGTTCGATGGCTCTGAAAGGTCAAAAATCCATAACAAATCGAACTCCCATGCGGAGTTCGGGCCATGGCACCTGGAACTGCTACTTAAAAACAATAGGCTCGACCAAGAGGCAGCACCACTCCGAGGAATAGACTCAATTCAAAGTGGTCAAACGAATAGAATAGAAAGTCAAAGGGTTGAATAGAACACATGTCTAGCGAATCATCTTGATGTTGGATTTTCTCTTCGTCTTTCCTCAACGTCCATCCCCTGTACAGTAAGCATGCTCTAAGGCCCGGGCGTGAGTGTCCCCAACCCAGGCGCCTTCAGGCCTCCCAAGCATAGTTTTTCGATGGATGTTTCTTGCCAAAGAGGGTGCTTGGTGTGGTCGTTTATCTTTTCCTTTGAGGCTGTCGAGGTTCTTTGGAGAGGCCTCCGGAGTCTCCAAACACAGAGTGATGTTCATGGGTTGGGATGTTTGTTGGTCTATATTATGTTATATTATATTATATTACAATATATATGTATTATCTATATTTTGCTATGTATATATACTATATTACTATGTGTGTATATATATATATTACATACCGTATATGTCTTGGGCTGGCAGATGTTCTTGCCACATGTTCCCTACAAAGCCAGGTCGCACCACCCGACCCAGGAACATCTGAACATCTCAAAAAAAACTAACAATAAACATGCCAAACAGTTCGCTTGGTCGCATAAAAAGGGGTACTCCGAAACTAAAGCATGTTCCCGCTCATTATGTCCTACCAGTTGATGACTCTAACATTCAGACTGCCCACCATCGGGACCAAGATCTGCAATCGGTGAAAACCAGCGAGGAGTCGCGCAGCGAGCAAACACATTGATCTTGGGTGCCGGCGGGCCGGCATCAAAGTACTGGACCTATAGGCAGTGGAGCCCCACGGGATAAAATTAGGCAGAGTCTCGGGAACAAAATAGCACAGCAGCTACAGCTACTCAGCAGCATGTCTCAAAATACAAAGGCACTGTTGCTGATTGGATTGGCCTTCAGCCTTGACTGGTCCCGCCCAAATCAACATTTTGCAAATCCTGAATCGATCGAACTCCATGGCGGAAGCATTGGTCAGTCGAGACTTGAACCCCGGATCTCTAAACACCCGTTGGGTCAGCTCTGAAGGCTCTTGACCAGCTGTTTTTCCAGCGGGTCAGTGAAGTAGGCTGATTGTCTGCCGCTTTTGACCAAAAAAAACAGGTCAAGTATGCCCTGTCGGCCCTCGAGCTTGCAGACACCAAATGGCATCCTGGATCACTCTCTCCCAGGCATCTCAGTGCGGGTTTTTGAACCCAGTCACCTCATGTCATATTTGGACGTTTGCCTTCTGTACAACACCCAATGAGTGCAAACATATCAAACAAACCGAGAAAATCTCAAGCAACAGACATAGACTGATTCTTCATTCTTGCGGAGCCTGGTTCTCCGGAAAGATCCAGCTAGGGCCAGAGCAAAAGGGACATGGATTACCGCGATGGCCGCTGCATTCATTCACGGAAATTCTCCCACAGTCACCAATGTATTCAAAAAAAGCTCCACCTGGAGTTCTCATGCGCGTCTCAAAATCAGAGCTAGTCCCACCACTTTTGTAATTACTGGGTCTGTCATCCTCACCTCCAAATCTATTCATGGCACCCTGTGTGGCGCTGTTCTTGAGACGCCCCAAGACGTCCAACTTTACGGTTGGGCATCATTCTGTGCTCGTTTCAACTGCCTCTTCTCATAACCCAGCATCCGCCAGCGCTTCTTGGCCTCATGACGTGTGCAAAAGTGGCACTTTCGGCACCGATCGCCAAAATGGCAGCGGACTTCCTCCTGGGCCGATCAGTGTGCGAGCGAGCGCAAGATCGAGATCGAGAGCGAGAGCGAGGGCGAGCGCAAGATCGAGATCGAGATGGAGAGCGAGAGAGCGAGAGAGCAAGAGAGGGAGAGAGCGAGAGAGGGAGAGAGCGAGAGAGGAAGGAAGGAAGGAAGGAAGGAAGGAAGCAAGCAAGGAAGGAAGCAAGGAAGCAAGGAAGCAAGGAAGCAAGGAAGCAAGGAAGCAAGGAAGCAAGGAAGCAAGGAAGGAAGGAAGGAAGGCAGGCAGGGCGGGAGGGAGGGAGGGAGGGGAGGGAGGGAGGGATTAACATCTTTCAAGCGAACATCTCTCAAATCCAAAGAGGAAAACATTTGGCTTCGTTGCCTCAATCATGGGTGGAAGTCCAAGAAAGTTTCTCTGTTGTCCTGGCAGCTCTCAATGCATATGTATTTATATATATATATATATGAACTAGAAAAATAGTGGATAGTCCGATAGTCCCTTCATTTCCCTGCCAAAGCCAACAATCGCCAAAGAAAAAGTTGCTTCATTCACACACTCCCCAGCCACTCCAAAGTAGAATCTGCAGGGCTCACATAGTCCTGCTGCATGCAATTCCAATGTTCCCGCAGCGGGCTCAGCCGGGCTGGCCGCCGCTGGCGGGATCTCAGCCAAGCTGGGCTCCGGGATCATCGGCTCAAGCTGCAACACCAGGCGCGCCGGGAATCCTTCCGCGGCCGCGCCTGCTGTGCCTGCCATGGCCATCGTCGCTTCTGCGGCACACCGAATTCTTGGAGGTGCAGATCTGCTGCGCAGCACAGGAAGGTTGGGCGGCATGTCAGAGGGATTTTCACCACAGGCCAAGTGGAGAAAGGTTCTCTGAACTGACAATGTACAGCATTCCTGGTCTGGGAACGGACGAAAGCGGCAAATCACGTGGCCATCCGGCGGCCAGTGGAACATGGCCATTAGAAATGGGCGCGTCGGTCTTCAAAACTACCGTCCGACGTGTGGCAGCCAAAGAATTAATTGGCTTGAACCAAGGCTGGAAAAAAGAACTAAAGAAAATCAACTCCTCGTTGTTCAGCCAGGCTCGCTGGCTCGCTACAAGGTCAGTCTCACTTTCTCTGATGTCAACACCAAGCGAATCCTCGTGTTTTTCCAAAACGATCTGGCTAGTTGGACTTGACAGCACATGGCATATGATGGCATCGGTGTATTTTCATATCCTTGTTTCGGTGAAAACTAAACACTCTCAGTGCTCTGCCCAGTAGGGTTTCGGATCCGCCAAGGAGGAGAAGTCGATGCGCAGCACTTGGGCCTCGGTTTTCGCAGCATCGCCACAACGAAGCGGTGTTGTTGCACTGATTAGCGCAAGTCCAGCGAGTCTAATTGTAGACACTTGATTAGCAACCCCCACATTTGGAGTGAACAACCCTTTTCACATGGGGAGGTTTACTGATCAAGAGTCCACAAACAAGGTGTGGTTCTCTTCCATGAAACCCACATTCACATGTCTGCCCCATTCGGTCCATCAGCGGCGCACCGGCCATGGCATCGTCTCGCCGGCCGCTTGGACCCAACAGAACTCCTCCACCTGTCCAGCTGCAACAGTGAGCTGCTGGAGGTTGCGAAAATACCAAGGGTCACTTTCCTTCACGTCTTCAGGAGACAAAATGGTCGTTTGGTCGGCAGGAGTCATTCTTTTTCGTGTGGTTTTTGTTGTTGACCAATCCTCAACATGCCGAATGCTGGCTATCCTGCAATGTCATCCTCCTGTTTTGTACGGGTCCGCAAGGTCCAATTTCCACCAAGTCTGTCTCTCGTGAAAAGAGGTGTTCTGGCAGTCTTCCGGATTATTTTTTTTAATCCACCCTTGGGGGTTGATCGAAGCAACGCTGCTGTCCAAGTACTGCTGTGAGCAGTACTACACATATCATACATTGGATGGTTGGGAACAAAAAAAGGAAACCACAAGGGATACCCTGGACTCTCCCGGATCCTTCTCAGCCCGAGTGCTCCGTTCGTCTCAGAACCCGATGACGTGGCGTCGCAGGCGGTCCAATACCGAGCTGAAGTGACCTGCAACTTCAGCTGTCGCATCTGCGCCAAGTCCAAGGTACACTGGGCACAGAACCTGAAGAGATCCACTCGGACGATCCAAACATTGACTGCAAAGAAGATGATCTGATCTGACTGCAGAGAAGATCTGCTCTTCCTCTGCTTTGGCAAGTCCTCATTCACCCCGCTCACGTGTTCTCCACTGGGAACTGACGACATACAGTAGCAACATGTAGCAACAACCCCCGTGCAGGTTTGGAACATAAGGGCTTCCTCATTTTCCAGGATGTTTCTTTTGGAGTGAATGCCCAATCGCTGGACAGGACGAAACGAAGCAAAGCTTAGCCACTCCTTTGTGGAACTGCAGTTCATGGGCCACATCCACCCCATCCCATTCAGCTTCGGACCACTGGTCATCGGGATGACCAAAGTATCTCACCTGAGGCAACGCGAGACGAGACGCAGACGGCGCCTTCTTCTTCCGTCACTGGCCGCCGAGGTGACTCCCTCGGCCTGTTCGAGCCTCGCGCCCTCGGCTGACTCGCTCGGTCTGACGCAAGCAACGGCGAACGGCCTCTGCGCCAAGGCCCTGGCGCATGGATCATGACACTTCTGGTGAAAGGCCTTGTCACAGCGGTCCTCGGTTTCAGCAAAGACGAGCACCCAAAGCCACAAAAGCTGAGGGAGAGGTGATTTGTGATCTCTGGTGAATGCTGGCTATAAATGTTAGAATAGGCTGCAGCATGTGTTGAGCTGTAGAGGGTATGCAGTGTGGAATTGTACTCTGGTCCAAAACCTGGTATCATGTCTTGATATGTGTTTTATGTCCAGGTGACCCCGCGCACATCCCCAGATCGTTGCCATCCTCCACAGTGCCTGCCGCCACAAGAACATGCCTTGTCTGCATGGCTCATGCTCATCATCTCTCATCTCTTAGCGCAGCAGGCCTCCACTGCACTTGCAGCAGGTCGCTTCCAAGGCTTCAGGAAACAGATTCGCCGCCACTGCCTCAGTTCTAGCCGCGTTGGCGCGCTCACTTGCAGCGGTGGAGCCATCCAATGGCATGACGCGGGGGTTTTCGAGGCAAACAGGAACAATCGCTCTCAGGGATCCTGAGACCATGCAGATGGCCATCACGAAGACACCCTCACGCCCTCACGCCCTCCCCACCTGTCAAACGCCCATCCAAGCCGATGTCACAGTCCCCACTGCCAAACCACTCCCATAGGTCAGCTGAGATACCTTCACTCGATGGGAAGGGCCTCGATCGGTCACAAAAGGCCAACGGGACGCAATCGACCAATCGCTTTGACACAGTGGCCAACCAGCCTCAATTCCTGCATTTCTCCTGCATTTCAATCCTTGAATTCAACGAAATCTGCCCCCGCTCCTCATTCCTCATCACCAATATGTCACTCACACAGCAAAGCATACAAAAGCGCAAAAGGCAAAAGTCTTAATACATTGCAAAAGAAAGTTTTTAGCTTCTTCACTTTGTTCTCAATCAAGTGTTGCCACCACTTCACACGCAGCCTCATGGCTCATGATTCCGATCAAATCAATTGGCTCGATGATTGGATGCAACTCCCATGAAAAACTCCACATTGCAGTCGCAGTGCCCTGGCCTTGGTTCACAGGTGCCCGCCGTGCACGCGGCGCACGTGGCGCGCGCGCCGCACGGGGTGCACGCCCCCGTGGGGCGGGCGCCCCAGGATCTGCCGCCTGCAGTGGAGCCTGCTCCGCCACGTCTGGCTCCGGCGCTTCCTCCGGTTCATCCTCGCCTGGGAGTGATGTGAAGATCGGTAGCATCGTTTCCTCAAGATTCCAAGAGAAGGAGAGAGTGTGAGTGCCATCTCTTCCTATCATTGTTTTCTGGCCATCGTTTAGTCATCATCCGACATCCAAGTTCACAGAGTCTGTTAGAAGAGTAGCTAGGTCACGTGCTTCTGGGCACCAGTGCCATCAAATGGTCGTCTTCGGCCTGCACATAAATCCTTTCAGACCAAAAGCATCTAAAGCAAGTGCTTCGACAGCATGATCGTGCCTCCCGGTTTTGGCGTGCGGACTTCTTCTTTAGCCTGAAGCACGTTGCCAGTCTGGTAGAGCTCAACCATAGAATCCACAGAACCCATGTACTGATGTACTGTACCAGAAAGGCAACCAAATCTGCAATTCAAAGCTGCCACTGCCACTACCGAGATTTCCTGTGTGCACAGCCAGCGGCAGTTTGAGACATCCTACCATTCAGCCTCTGCTCCAGAGAAGTCTTGGGAGCCGCCTTGATAACCTTCGCCTGTGCCAGGTCCGGGAAATGTCTCAAAAAACGTTCACAACAGCCGAAGCTTCACGCATCTTGGACCTCAGAAAGTAACGACCTCAAAAGGGGGGTTGGATCTGTCTCACGCGGTCTGTCTCGGGGGGAACCCCGCACACTTCCCATCTTCTATCTCGTATGTGGGTCGAACATTCAACCCTGCCCCCGTATTCAGTCTTTTTGCAAGGGAAGGCACGCACCTAAAATTGCTCACGGACTGGCTGTGGCTCACACATATGTGCCACTATATGTGCCATCTTGTATATCAATTCTGGAACCACATCCAACCGACCACCAACTACCCTCCAAATCCTTCGTTTCCCTTCTGGGTTTCAACCCCAGTCGCTAGCCTTGGCCTTGGGCGCTTTTGGCTGCGCCTTGGGCTTCCCCGGCTTCGCCTTCGAGTTCTCCCCTCAGAACGAAGACGAGGACGAGACGTACACCAAGAAAACCCTTCGAGTCCAGACGAGTGTTTTCTTGAACCTCGAGTCCTGGCATCACCAACAAGTCATTCCGTGAGCAATCCAACCCAGCGAGAATCTATAGATCTACAGTATTTGCCTTTGGATGACATCCCGGTGCTGCCAAACCAAATTGGGTGCGGGTGCTTTAACTTAAATTCAGCATTGTCTGCTGGGATTAGCTATGCCCCACTTCGTATTGCCTACGATTATTTTTGTCATTCCATGTTCACGGCAATTTACCAGGACTCCCAAGACTCGCTTGAACCCAAGGGTCGTTGGAAGCGCTCAGAGAGCAACGGAGGAAAGTTCCATCTCTTTGGCCAGCAAGAATTCCAGAGGTGTTGCATAGCAGCAGTTCTTTGGCTAGGATTGAAGAAAAGAAGCGCCCCTTGAAGAAAGCTTTTGAACTTTGAGCCCTGAATTCTCTGAGGTCGTGGCTTGCTTTTGGTTTCTCTTTGCGCTTCGACTCCTACAAAACCCGGGATGAAACAGGTCATCCGCAGGTCCAGACAAGGAAAAGATCGCACCATCTTCTCTGCAGAACAACGGGGAGAGAAGCGACCCAACAGAGCCCATGCACCTCCTTAGAGTGTGTCCGACTATCAGTAACAATCAGTAAAAAATGATCATGATTCTTGAGATGTCGGCAGCCGGCCTTTACTAACTCTCATCATTCCTTTATTACTAGTGTATCAACCATACACCCCGTCTGACCATCATGCGCCCCACCCGGAAATCCGGCACCCCCCAGGAGAGCCCCCCACCGTTCATGGCCGCTCCTTGACTGACTCCGTGGACTCGTGCTTCACCGCCTGACGAGGACGGACTCCGCCCAAGGACGGGGGTTCGCCCGCCAAAGGTCGCGGTGAGCGAAGGTTCTGGCAGGCCAGACCAGTCCAGTAGGTCACATCCCTGAAAAAATGCCAGTGTCACATCCCTGTGGACCACCTGTGAACCTGTGAACTACATCAATTTTACTCCACATGGTGATGCCTGTGCATTCTCCTTGGGTGCTTCCTTCTCCACTTTGTCCGGCCCGGCCGCCTTCAGTGACAGGAGAATCATCTCCACATCGCACACCGACCACACTGACCGCTGAGCTCAGGGCTGGCACAGGCACCTTTGACTTG